GTCGAATGGTATTCGGGAGAAATAACTCACCCTCGATAGATGAACTGATCACACTGCATAGGTTGCGCTGGTTTGGCCACGTGTTGCGTATGCCAGTCGACCGAATTCGTCGCAGGGCTCCTTTCGCACCACCACGTGAAGGGTGGGAGAGAGCCAATGGCAGTCAAACAATGACTTGGCAGCGAAGAATGAAGGCCGTTAACATAAAACTCAGCTGCGCTGGTCGCTGCCGTCTTCCTGGATAGGGACCCCGAGACGGGCCACATCAATGGCTAGAGACACTGTCAGACATGGCTCAGTCGCATCCTCAATGGCGCTCGTGCATCCAAGCTGTTGACTTCAGTGCATAGCTCCTTTTCCGACCCCCCTCGCACTTGACAGCCCACTGACAGTGCTGGATTTATGCACCAATTTATCAGCTCCCGCCTGCAATGCGCAGCTACCTACCCCTCCCCCCAACTCATCGGTCAACGAAACCGCGGAACCTACAACCACTGTACGACGAGTACGTGGTTATTACAGCTGACAATGATGATGATGCAAGCCTACACAGGAGAAGTCGAAAGACAAAGGCCGGGTTCGAACCACGGACTTTTCGGTTAGTAAATTCGCGCTCTAACAACTTAGGCCATCTCGCCCCCCTAAGACACCTTGTTACATCTGACTGCTATTTCCGCTCCGATTCCTAGTCCCGGAAAGACTCACCGATAAGAACACAAGAGTCTTATTGGAACAAGTGAGGACAAAAGTTACAACGGCCCCGAGCTACTTAAAGGGCACCCTTTGACATTCATCCAGGCTGTCTGAGCAACGTTTATTGGACACCGATCAACATCCACCGTGCTTCTGTGAAATGCCTGAACACTTATAATAGTCGGTCTTGCTTCTGTGGCATGCCTGGGCACTCATCAGCTTTTACTGAATTGATTGCGTGATTGACTGGTCTGGATGCTTGGCAGCTTTCCTATTGAGGTTTTGGTGGAGTTTTAGGGTCCCACTAGGTTTCGGGCGTTCTGGGGTTATTTTCAGGAATCTGGCCTTCCTGATATCTATTTCCGTCCCGGCTTGAGACATTTAACGTTCTATCTCCATTCTGGTATTTTCGGTTTCTTGGTATGGCTGGATGCGCAAATCCTTCGTCTGCAGACGTACAGACAACAGACTCAGAAAGCCCCATTTCTGTCTGCACATACTCTTTGGTCGTTTTCTCTGTTGCCCCAAGTCTTCTTTACCTATTTCTTCCCTCGCGTACACTCAGGTTAAGTCCCTGATTTCAGTAAGCAGAGTTAACATTTTCGGTGCGGGGTCTCAGGAATACCCATGCATTCAAGCTCCTCCGCACCATACAAGTGGCACTCGGTACGCGTCTTGCAGTGTGAGGAGTTAAAGCAGCTGCTCCACGCATCTGACTTACCCCTAAAAAAGCGTTAGAATGGTGGTGACTAATGCCGTTTGTGATATGATATTTAGGAAAGGAAGAGGATACAGAAAATGTCGGGCTCACTGCTCTCAACTCAGTTACGGTTCCTTTCACCCACACTGGTGATTTCCGCCAGGTGTGGATATTTCGATTGCCCGACTATACAGGGACACCTTATCTGTCATTCAGACGAAGGCTTTCCCCAAAAATGGAATAATCCTTACCTTGAATTCGTGGGGTAAATTCTGCAGAACGTCACCGGCGACTTTAATTCGTGCTAGATAGATAGATACTTTAGATACTTGAAGGTAGAAAATTTGGAACAAGGTTGGCACCCAGTTTCTTTGGATCTGTGTCAGTTGTGTTTGCATTTCTGGGATCTAAAAGGCGGCAGACCATGATGAAAGTGGATCCCCTAAGCATAAAAATGATAGTAAGGCATTCCGACACCTCTGAGTGATCACAGCGGCTGACTGCATATAAAGCTTCTAGGACTCAATATTAGTTCTCCGATAATTAATCTGCTGAATGACTATGTCCTAGTCACTCATTCTCAGGGAATTTGTGGTTGTTAAGTTGAAAGTCCGTTCCAGTAGTCGACAATTATAAAGAAAAATTGTAGTCAGACGAATTTTCTAGGGCGCTGCCTGTACACCTGTTCATGTCCGCGGAGAGCCAAATAGAGTGAAGGTGGAACCTGAGGTACGCCAACGGTTTGCTCGTTCTTGAATGTTGAAAAGGAAATTATAGGGCCTAACCTGAGGCCACGAAGTTTCAGTGAGTAGAGGTTCGATATCCCCTGGTACCGATAATAAAAAACGTGCAAAACAGCCACCGTCTGTCCAACATCTAATCGTCTTTAATGCGGCCTGAGGGTGACAATGGTTGGCGCAATTCAGACGCTGTCAAACGTAGGTCCCTAATAAAAGATGGGTCTAGAGCATTACAAATCTTCACTCATTCTATGAATATCGACCAAGTGGCAGAGGGGTGTTCGGGTAAGATTAATGACATTGATAAGAAACACGAACGGAAATAAGGATGATCACCGGCAGATACATGATATAAACACTATTGGATTTGTGAATTCTTCTGCTTTAAGCTTACTGCCTATGAACTAAGTATGGAGACTGTAGGACAAGTTTGTGAACCAAAATCTTTAGAAAAGTAAGAAAAGGCGACGCTGGATATCAACCTGTTATCACGCACATCCTTGGGGCTGATGCTATTACCACAACCTCGTAAACAATCTCTTCTTGGTTCGTCCCATACAAATTGAACATGCACGATAAATACCTCATTTGTGACTGTATAGCTACACAGTCGCTGGATGGCGCTTTAGGTATCAGTGTCAACAACACTCGCATCACATGCATGTAGAAACCGTGTAAGTCGCCGGGGATTACATTTTAAAAAACGTTACACCTTAGGCAAAGGCGGAGCGCAACCGGAACAAATAGGGAAAAACACTGTTGCAGTGCGTATAAACCACTGGTCATATGAAAATCGAAAAGTTGTGGTAATAGTGATATTCGTGGGCTGGTATTTCACTGCCAGCAAGGAAAGCTGTACACAGATTCATTAAGCACACTGATCTGAAAGCCGATTTGGCTTCACCGGGAGACCCAGAGAACCCGCGTGGAGTTTCCGCTTTTGACTTTTTCTACACAAGCTGTTTACTTATCTCTACATTATTTAGTGTCCGCTTTTGTTTTACCTTAGAGAAAGCTCACATAAGTGTCCTACATTGATTTCTGATGCGTTTACCCTCCGAATGGATGAAACGGTCCCCTGCAGCTTAAGCTATCAAAATTGACAATCCCATAGCTGGGTCGTTCGTTCCAGCAAACGGCGGAGTCTCCGAACAAGTTGAAGGTTATTCATAGGTTATGGTCGATAACCATGATTAAAACGGGTAGATGCGCATTTATCGGTGCATCGACATTCATGGCCTGCATTTCGCACAACTGTTGCATTAGCACGGAATTCCTAATAGAGAGTTATCCCAAATTCTTGAGCGATCTGTATTAAATCCAGTGCAGACGGCGGAGAATGCACCGAACATCTACCTCGTAGCTCCTGACAGTGGGTCGACAGCAGAGAAACCGCAGACTTTCGACCGCTGATTGGTTGAAATCCAAACCTGTGGTGGTCACGGATTCACGGATTGATGCACAGGATCGAGGCTTTTGCCCAAGTTTCCCGGGTCGCTTTTGTTGTTGCCGGTCAGTGGCTGTCGTTCACCTGAAAGGCACAAGTGAGAAAAGGGTGTAGCACTGCTCTTTGTGTTCTCAGCGCGGGGCCGTATGCTTGCCAGTGCGAGAATTCGCATAAATAAATGTCCAATAGTGCTTTAAACTGGGTTCCAGAAGGAGCGTGGACAACCGTCAGAGGGAGATCATTCCACACAGCTACTACCCGAAATGAGAAAAAGCTTTGTCTAATGTGTGCCCTCTGAGCTTGAAAATCTTACTATATCCCCGCCATGTGTTTGCTGGGTCAACGGTGAAAAACCGTTGTGGAAGATGCCTTTGGGCCGATTTCTAATGGTGCAGTGAGAAGGACAAGTTTGAGGAGACCCAGATGCCCACATCCTTTTTGGCATCTGTCCTCATGATGTTTTCTGGTCCTTTCTCGCCATGCATAACAAAGGCATTCGCTGAGTCTCCTCCAAATGTCATATGGACGCACTTTTCCTCATTCAGAGGAAGGTACCAGTCCGACGACCACTGCTTTCCAGGGTCTACATCTATTTGGAGGGCATTGGCATTGGAATTCCAGGATTTCAAGTCGTCCGCAATAATTGGACATGGACTTGCAAGAAAACCTGGGAGGTCATTAACGTGGATCAGAAACAGCAGAGGTCCCAGGACGGAGCCTTGAAGAAATCCAATGGAGACCGGCGCCGGAGAAGAGTAGGTTGAGCCTATTCTTACTCGGAATGATTTGGCTGATAGGAACATCTTGAATCAGTGACGGATTTTCCTTCGAATCCCGTAAGACTTGAGTTTGTGGAGCAGTGGGACATGTAGGACCCTATGAAATGCTTTTGGGAAATCGAAAAATATGGCATCGGATATGAGTCCTTCGTCCTTGACTTGGGTTAAGCTGTCCATAAATACGAGCATGTTTTTTACGTGAGAACGGTTTGGGAGAAAGCCATGTTGAGCTGGAGATATCAGGTTGCTGGAAGTAACATGATCTATGATGGCTCGCTCCAGAATGTTCCATCGCCTTGCACGGCACGCTAGTGAGGGTTTTAGGCCTGTAGCTGCCAGGCGATAGTCGGTCACCAGTTTTGTAGATAGGTGTAACAATTGGTACCTTCCAGACAGAGGGTAGGCGGCCTTTGTCAAGCGGCTGACGAAACACCAGGTGTAAATTATTTGTCAGTGTGGGCGATGTTTCCTTCAAGATCTTTCGGTGAACATCGTCGGGCCCCAACGCGCAGAATGGGTTGATCTTGAGCAACAGTTGACGAATGTTCTCCACCGTGAAGACCGAGTTGGTTAGAGGCTGTTTTTAGTTCCGCCTTGATGTGAGTGGATGTGACGAGGACGCTGGGGTTGAGTATAGACCCGCATAGTGTTCTCTGTAGACCTCAGATACTACTGTTGGGTCACTCGTCGGTTTTCCGTTTCTGTCCCTCAAGGAGAAGGCGGGTGGTTTGTTTCTGTGGCGGTCTCATGTATTTGAACAACAGGTTTTTGTTTTTCCGACCGAGGTCCTGGATGGTGGTTTGTTTTCGTATGTTACATTGGCGGATTTCTGATTTACAGCGCTTCCTCATTTTACGAAACACCAGCTCATCTTCCATATCCCATGTAGTCAACTTCTTAAGAAAAG